ACCTAAAAAGTAAAAACAATACATGAAGCTGAGACAGGCATATGGCAGAGAAAATTTTGACCCCTATTGCTAAAAAATAGCAAAGTTCGGCCAAGACTGACAATAGAGTTTATAATAGAGTATGTTGAATAATCTTAATATTAGGCTACTTAAACTAGTGTTGTTTACCATTGAACAAGATTATGCATGACTATAAATGTGTTTCCCTCATTTTTCTGTGTCACGAAAACATTGAAGAGCCTTGTGCAGTAAATGGCTTAAAAATAGCGTGCTAAAACCATGACAGCTATTGGTATTATATGGATTTAAAAAAAAAAAAAAAAGTTTTGGTTGCAGGACATTTTTTTAAATTATTTTTTAAGGATATGTATTTTCTGTAGTTTCCACTTCCATTATAAAGATGATTTTATATCTTTCTTTCAAGCTAGCCAAACTTGAAAGGTTCATCTTCAAAAATGACAGAACATTTTTCATACCTATGCATTACATAATCTGTAATAAGGTCTATTTTAGGTTTAATACTTAACCTTTGTTCCATTGCACCAGCCAAAATTAAAAGGTAGCATATCCTACAGAGTCGAATGGTCAGAGACCAGCTCCGAAGAGAAGGACTTGGGAGTGGTTGGTGGATGAGAAGCTCAACATGAGCCGGCAATGTGCACTCGCAGCCCAGAAGGCCAACCATATCTTGGGCTGCATCAAGAGAAGTGTGGCCAGCAGGTCGAGGGAGGTGATTCTACCCCTGTACTCTGCTCTCATAAGGCCCCACCTGGAGTACTGTGTCCAGTTCTGGAGCCCCCATCACAAGAAAGACATGGACCTGTTAAATGAGCCCAGAGGAGGCCACGAGGATGATCCACAACCTAGAGCACAGCATGATTTTAACCTAACAAACAAACCAACCAAAAACCTTAAAAAAAACCCAAACCAAAAAAACCCCCCAAAACCCGACTAACAGCAGACAGGAATCTCTCTGAATGTTTGACCAAAAGTTCTATCAGAATTCCTTTAAAAAATAATTTCCCATATATTCCTCCTCACTCAGCCTTAGAAAGGCATGTATTTTTTATTCACTGAATTGATAGCTCCTTCTTCAGATTAGGACTTCATGCCACATGTTCCAGAAAAACTGCTGATTTATATACCAAGTATTTATTGTGGCTAAATTAATTTATTCAGCACTATCGCTATATCTGCCAATACCCATTATATCAGCACACATAAAACTATTATTAACATCACTGAGTTCTGAAATATAAAAGAATCAAAACTTATTTTCATATCAGGATGATGGAAACTTATAATTGTAGATACTTTAAAATATACTTTTCCACATTTACATTAACTACATTATATTCTTCTGATAGACTGTGGTTTATTTTGGCAAGTTTCACTTAAATTGATTGACTCTCAGTTTCCATCACTTGTGATCTTTGCACTTCCTAAAGTGTCAGTAAGGTCAGCCAAATATAACCAGTGTAACAGAGCACAATGTGTCTAGAGATTTTCAAGCTAAGGATATAAGACTGTTTGACTTCAGAACTCTAAACAGCTCTGAACTGGAAAGAATGAAAATAAGCTATTTGAAAAATGGTACATCATCATTATTTATTTCACTATCTAACTTTTTTGAAAAACAAAAAACAAAAAACCCAACCCCCCCAGTATTTCAAGGTTTATGTGTGACACAATAACAGGTAACTTATCTGATAAAATACATTTCATATCTGTTTAGTATGCTTGGTTTCCTTATTCTATCTTTTTATATTTCAATAATTTTTTTTCATAAATTTTAACAAAAATAATTTGGAAATTATACTGATATATCTCCCACTATTAATAGTACCTCCTATATGATTACAATTATCAGTCTAACAGAAAAATGCATGGGAAAAGGCACAAATGATAAAGTTCAAAATGAACGAAAATTCTTGTGACATATGCATCTCCAAATTGTGCAAAGGAACACCATGTACCTCTCAAATATGGCAAACAATTTCAAGCTGTTAACTTGTTTCCTGTGAGAAAAGCATCTCTAAATCCAATTTCAAACTGCATGGAAAGAAGTTTTCCCTCAAGGGACCATTGCTGTAACCATGAAACAAGAAGACTTAGGACCTTTACATCAAACGATCTGAAAAAAGCCAAAAAACTGTTCATCCTGCCAGCCAAGAGGAAGAATGGAATGAGATGGCTCTTTGACATCTGCTCACTGCTCCCCTTCAATCTATCAGTAAGTACCTACAGGTGGGGCATAAAACAGTACAGTTGAGGGACAGGCTGTTGTTGCACCAGGTAGTTCCAATCTTTGTAACTGCTGTTGAACCACTTGTGTCATGAGAAGAGAGAACAGCTGTTTGATTAGTAATAAATTACAGAAAAAAACAATACAACCATACAACACAAAACCCAGACCAAACCAACTACCTTCCCCTTAGACCTTTATTAGACAAGCCACCACTTGCAAAGACAGGCTTTTGCAGCGTCACGGACCAAGAAGAAGCCAAAGATCCACTGCATTTTATGAATTACAGTAGGGGGTCCTCAAATGTTTTCGCAGACCTTGTACCACATCTTAATTAATAAATTGTCTCATATCCCAATCATGATTGTATAAACACCCCTTAGCAACTACAGAAACAGTGTTTGTGGAAAATCACTATTAAAAGCAAAGCAGAATATTTTTCCCTTAATAAAGTTAAGTATCTAAAAACGAGGAACACAGCCTGAACTAAGAGAACTATTGGCCTCCCTCTGGACCACCACAGTGTTCCACAAGCCAGTCTCGGAACATCTGACCTAGTCCATTCTCCTGGCAAGTAATTATTTGCTCTCCATACAAATATTTTCTATGTTTAGCTATTTTTAACTAATTTTGATGAAAGCTGGTATCAACTTTCTTTAGATTTTAATGTCTGGAACCAATGCTAGAGCCTGCCCTCACAGTAAGACCTCCAGCTGAAAAGTTAATTTCCCATTAAGCACTTTTTGAACGCTACGAATACTATGTAGCTTATCTTATGGTGTTTATGCACTAAAAATAAAGCTACAAAAATGGTGACTTATGAAAAAAACAAAAGATGCCTCGTTACTAACCATTTGTTCTCATTTCATTTAGGAAATAAAAGGATACTAGTAGTGAAAATAGTTGTGTAGGGTACCTGAATTCTACAGAAGAGTCTTGAATCCAATACTTTTTTTCTTTCTAATTCTCATCTGAGATAGAGTAAGCTGTGGTCACATAACTTTAAAAAGATTTGAGATGATGATAGATGAAGAGATACAGCCATAGCTCTCTTTATAAGAGTTTTTTAAAAACTGCACTCTTTCAAGGACCAGATAAAACTGGAAAGCAGAAGCAAGACAGAAAACTTAGATATTAAATTGCTTGCTTTTACCAAATAGGTAAGAAAACAATGTTATTGCCTCTTTTTTCTTTCTGATAAGTCCTTTAACATTTTCTGAGTCTCTCAAATCTTTAAGTACTCCTATATCATATAATCACCAACAACATAAAGAACTTAAAAAAGAAATTCAGTACTAACCATTTTCTACTAGGAAAAAGAAAAATACATCACTCAGTAGATATGAACAGAAAGATGAATGGAAAGGAATTATTGACATGGTGCTCAAAGACCAGGAAATCTGTGCCAAATGTTACAACTTTCTCTGTAACTAGATCATTCTTTATTCCGGTAAACTAAACTTTATAAATACATGCAAAAAAAAAAAAAAAAAATCATCTTTCTTGTTGTAGAAATAAAAATTAATTTTGCATCTTTCAAGCAACTGGAATTAGGACAGCTGGTGGTGGGAATAACTATGGGCTTGAACAAAATCAGTGTTATTGTTTTTCCTGTTTTAGCTATTTGAATTATATTATTCCTGTGCTGCGTGGCTGCCTACCAATAGCTTAAATTTAGGATTGAAAATTCTTGGTAGAATATACCATTTCAGACAGACAGATTTGGTGATAAAATGAGAACAGAAAATGTATTATAAAAAGAATTGGTTTTTTTCTGTTTTCTTTACATTCACTTTTCCTAATCTCCTCTCACGAAGGCTCAGAGCACTAAGTTGTGTCATGATAAAGGAATGATATTTCCATAGGCTACAATTTTATAGTTGGCTATGCAGTTGTGTGTCTTCCTTATAAATACGTACTGCACCTTCAGCTGGTTGAAAAAGGAAGCAAGATTTACACTAAAATTAGTTTTCTTCAAAGCATCAGAAATAAGAGGTAAAAAGCAAAAAAGCCCACAACCAACAAAAAAACCTACCAAATACTGTAACAAAAGCAAAATACCGTAGCAAACATTTTGAAGCACTACTATTTTTACATGATTTTTGAAGGAAATGTTGTAGAATAATGTGATAATCGTTATAGCTACTTAAAATAGAATAATGCATGTACTCTTTTGCTTTAAAGGCAGCTCAAAGGCTGAATGCATAATCTCTGCACACTCCTACCTGATCACTAGCCTTGAACTTGAAGAATAAAAACTGCACACAACCTGAGGAAGGTGCATTAAAACAAAACAAATAGGTACGTTATACTAATAGATCTCAATACAGTAAAGTCAGTTTCTAAAAGGCTTTATTTGCAACATGTGTCCTCTCTGCACATGTCCTAAAACTGTCTTTACTAAAAATTACAGATTAGTTTTCCAGAGAGTGCTTGCCTCATACAGCAGGCAAATAGTAGATGCTAAAAAAAGGGTAGAATAAGTTTCATTGATAAGCTCAAAACCGAGAAAAGGACATCACAACTTTTCTTTTTTTTTCCCCCAAGTGGAAAAAAAAAAAGGAAGAAAAAAATATATTAGGAGGAAAAGTGTTTAGCATCTTCTTCCAGGCAGTATTCTCTTCAGCTGTTTTTCCTATGTATTCTGGAATTGATTTTTTCCTTCCCCATAGTAGCAATAAGAAGGTTTAAAATATGCATGATCATAAATGGATTTGCAAGGAGCACTTGAACTGTAATAAGATTGAGAACTTACTGTCTTGCTGATGTAATTTGTGCTGATATTCATACACTGGAGTCCTTCACTATTGCAGCAACCTCCACATCTGTAGGTGGATACACATGGGGGTTTAAAGAAGGTGTTTGTAGTTGCTCCAAACTCTTTTCCCACATCCACACACACTTCACGTGGCATGCACTGAGTTTTTCTCCATTCAGTATCAATACCTGCCAAGTTATAGGGAATTTCATATGTTATAAAGTAACTGTTTAAAAGCAATACTCTTCTGTAGTAAATTATTAGGGTTCTTTTTGAAGTTTAGAACCAGAATATACATTGCTAAGAGTCACACCCTTTATTCAATGAAATACACATCTCTGTGTTAATTTCTAACTAATTTTTCTTCTTTATAGGGATGTGACATTATCAGCAATCAGGATAAAAGTCACAGTGGAGCTAAGAGGGTATCTAACAAGGTTGGGAAGATCTTACAACATCCACAGCTAAAGCTGTACGTATCCTTTCTCCTATACCCGGGGTGAGTCTCACTGTGAGTGAAGTCTAAAGAAGTACTGCACATCTTTGCAAAGTAATTTTAACCAGTCCCACACAGTAATTCATTTGGATACTATATATTAAAAACATTAACTTTTATGCCTACACACTTAACATGCAATTAATTTGAATACGTTTACTTGGTTGACTACAAAAATATAATTTAAAGCAAAAGGTTATTATTTAGCAATTATGTAATTATGTACACCACATGATTTCATCTGAAAGGTGGTATTTGTGCCCAGATTACCCACACAAATTTGGGCAAATATTTTCCATAGTGTTATAGAGCTTTTTGCCAAATGCAATCTTACACTAAATAGCCATGAGACTTGCAGCTGTACAGGTCCTTTATTATCTCTTGGAGCCAGTGTTTGGTAGGCTACTCACAAAAAAGGGAAATTTCTCCTATGTTAGTCTAAATTAAGGCACGTGATTTCCAATATAATGTCAAAAAATCCACTTCCCACTATAAAGTCTGTGTTCTCCTACCTGTAAGCACTTGCTTATACTGTAAGCTAATTATATTTTTATCCAGACCATCTGAAACACTAAGGGGTATTGACATATTTGTGTTAAGGCTCTTCTTTTTTCTGGTTGCAGCATCATGACAACTGCCCCCTTGTAATAAGAAAAAGCTACAAGTAGATTATTTGGTCTCCTAAAGCAATAACATGTAAGAGAAGAAAACGTTACCAGCTGTGACATAATTGCAGAAAAAGAGTAGAAACAGTTCAATGAATCTAACTATTGGAGCCTTCTTTGCCTTCTGCAAAATCATCACAGCCTCTACAAAGCAAGATTCCTTATACCTGAAGATATACACTTAACTTATTACACCTACTGAGCTAAGAAAGTAGTCTGTACCTTTCTTACAATGGATGTACCAAAAACACCTCTGTGGAGCAATTTATTTTATTAGGGAAGGTTCTCTGTCAAAGATTTTATTTTATAGCCATCAAATCAAACTGTGGAGGGTGGTTTACTGATGATGCTTAGCTTTTTAAATATTTTTGACGCAACTGACAAACCTTTGGATTTTAATTTATCATGTGTTAGAACGTGTTTTTTTGTCCTGTACTTACTTTTCAGGATCTCTGCATTATAGTGTGCTGCAGCAAATTTCAGTGAATCATCTGATCTTGTGTCAAAGCTGGAGTGTTCCCTGTTGTGTTGCCAACCTCCTTTCCTCAATTGACATTTGAACATTTTCCAGTATTCTGGGTAAAGTACTGTCATGAGTTCATCCACACTGGACACAGACCGCAATTGCTCTTCCAGGTCTTTGCTTGCATGAGCCTGTCAAAGTAACATGCAAGATTAATTACTTTCTCTATTACACAAGGTTTGTCAGAAACTAGCCTGAAAAACAACTCATACATTGTAAAATAAAGTCGTGCTCAAAGGGGTTCTCCTACAAAAACTGCTTTTGTCAGTCAATGCCAACCCTACTATATTGACAAATACAGAAATGTTTCACTAGTGCCACTAGTTCTTTAGCATAGTTCATCTGTGTGGGGAAGGAGCTATAGAATTAAGCCTATACAAGTACAGAAAAGTTTTCATGATAAAATTTTGAATGCTGAAATCTCAAAATATTTAAATTATGTTAATGTTATTTAATATCACATACTTTTAATGTAACACCAATTTTTTGCTCATTTTCCCTTAGTCCAGGAAAGTCAAAACATTCAGAAATATACCAGGGAAATTAGAAAAAAGAAGAAAACTATTCATGTGATAATTTCCTTTTTAGGAAAAATCCTAATGAGGAAATTCTATTATAGAGCACTAATCTTTAAATCTGTACGAGTCAAGGGCTTTGGTACTTTTAAGAGTCTAAACTCCACACTTCCCCACTGCTAAGAGTTTCAACTGAAACTCTTCAGGACTTTAAGCACTACACTCCTTAACTTGTTTTTTCAAGAGCAGCCTCAAATACTGCAACTGCACTTTCTTACTTGCTAGCTTTTATACAAACTCATTGCAATTGCATTTTCCTAAAAGAGTCAGATTTACATTTTAAGTTCTCACTTATCTGGAAGATGTCTCTGTCCTCTTAGAGGAAACAACATATTGCATCAAAGTTATTCCCTGCCCACCCCCTCTCATCCATGAATTGCTGACTTCCCAAAGGGAAGGACAGTAAGGAGAAAGAAAAGTACTGAAGAACCTTTAGCCACCTTCTCAGCTTACGTGGCCCTTAGATGGCAGTATGAGACATGAAATATAGAGGTACACCTTGTAGGAAGTGTCTTAACAACTGGCTGCAGATCCCGTACAGGTTACTGCAAAACTGTTGCTCTAGTCTGAGAAACACCAGGCTCTGACAGTGTAAAATGTGTGTTTAAAACCAGAAATATGAAACCATAGAACCTGTTATTTAAGATTTCTTACCAAACTCCATTAATAACAAAACTTAAATTCTTTAAATTCAACTGTTTTGAACATTATGCAAGTAAAACAACCAGTTCTGAATTAGTTCACCTGCTCCGTGTCTCACAAACAACTAAAAGGGTACAAAATGGCACACATCCACTTCCTTATCAAGTGACAAATACAGGAGAAACGTCTCAGGGTAAGGCAGATTCACAGAACTAATTTCTATAAATACAGTTAAATACAGAAGTCAAAGCTAAAACAGATTTCAAAGTCATTTTATGTATCAAAATGCTATTAAGTTAAAAAAGAAAATGTTTTCATTAAAGCGCCGCTAAGCACAGCATCACCATAGACTACAGTGTCCTGGGAGATTTCAACAACCAGGCTATCAGTCTCAGAAATGTGCTCATTCAGGACTTAATGTCTTTCCTTGTCTCCATAGAAAGGGTCATCTCTGACCCAAGCCATCCAGCAAGCATTATCTTGGGGCCTTGCCTTCAAATTTGTTTTGCCTCTACTCTCTTTGCAGGACGCCATGCAGGTTCTCAAACAGTAGGTCACAGACAAAAATCCAAGCTGAACAAACAACTAATTCGGTCACTGTCTGCTTGCTTTCACCTCTCCAGAGAGGTGAAAAGAGTAGGGTTTGAGTAGCCTCACTCCTGCCAGGCTACTGGCAGGGTTCCCTGAGGGTGCTGCAGCACATACCGCTCGAGTAATGGGGTCACTGCACCAGCGCAGTAAATGCCAGCACTGCAGATGCGCACCTGACGTGATGGGAATATGCACGCCACGGGAGGTCACAGCACGGAGATGACATATAGATCCTGTCACAAAGCTGGATGACAGTCCATTTCGTGAGAGGCCCAGGAACAGAAACTGTGCTTAGTCATCTAGTAGCTGACCCTAGAAGGTACCAGCAGATCATGCGGGTAACATGGAAGGAGAATCCAACCAGTGGTTCACCAACCTTTGATGAATCCCTTCAAAGCCTGTGCAGCCTGCTGCAAACAAACTGTTGGCTATTGGTGTTTCAGATATTCAAGGTACAGGCCTAGATCATCAGATAAGTACTGAAACACAAAATTACTTAGTTGATAAGAAGTCAGGATATGGAGCCAGAAAGAGGTTATATTTGTTAGAAATAATGTGTGTTAATGAAATCAAGTCATGTCTTTCCATGTCTTTGCTAGCTGCAGAGAAAATTTGGTATACATGTATAATATATGCATGAATGAAAGTCAAAAGAAATTAGTGGCTTTATTAAAGTATTGTACCTAATTTAATAAAGTTTTGTTTTCAAATGCATTTCTTCTGGGATTTCCATGGGTCAGAGTGCCACGTAAAGGATAGAGAATACTGACTACAATATGAAGTGCTCACTTAACATAAGGAAAACAATTTCTGGAGCAGATATATAAAATTACTTCTTTTAAAAAATGAATCGTTATTATTGTAACAGAATTATTTTGTGCTTAGTTTAATAAAGCTATTTGCTTGTAAAGATGGCTTCAATTCAAACTTACAAATACAATGGAAAACCAACCTGATCACTAGAGGACTTTGTTCTCTCCCCTCTTCTGATTTAGCAAGAAAGGAAGAAGGACATCCATGCATGTATACTAAACACAGTACATGCAGTGCCCAGAATTAGGGTGAAAAAAAAAATAAAAAAATTGAAAATATATGTTGATTTTTCAATATGTTTCCTATATTATGTTGACACACAGATCAATGATCTCTTCATAGTATATTCACTGTAAGTCTATGAAAGGCATGTATTTTGGAACTGCAGCAAATTACTCTCATCTGTATCAAACCGTTTAAAGATAAACATATGTATAAGGAGCTTGTGGCATGATTCAATTTTGTACAACAGTCAAACTTCATTGTCGACATGAACATCAAACTACGTATTAAGTTTTGGTTGATTAGAAGTGTGTGTTCTGCATATAGTAAAAGCATCAAATCATTAAGGATTGTTAAAAAGTTTCTAAATTTTTAAGAGAGGAATGCAACTGCTTCTGTAAATATAACAGTTGTCTGGCAATATTTTTTATTTTGTCCAAATTTTGGTTAACGTCACAAAAATATACTGTCTCAGTCCCTCCTTTTTATTCCAAATTCTTTGCTGCTGCTTAGTTTTTTGATAAATGTAAGCAGTCCATTGATTTTCATATGAACCAGTTGCAGTGCACTCTACACGGAATCCTGAACCAGTTGCATAACGCTTTACTGGAAATGCATTCTGGGATTGATATTCTACATCAAGGAGAAGCAGCAAATTTGTGTCATTAGCGCCTGGAGAGGAAGGAGTTTTCTCTGTCCCATGTTTTCTACTTTCTTTGCTCCTTTAAGTCAGTTAAAGGGTTGGGATTTTTTTGTTTTTGTTTCTAAACACCACTCACTTCATAAGAATTTGTCACTGTCCTTTCGTTGTCCATTCCACTGTTTTTTGTCATTTTTACATATTAGCATGATCTAGAAGCTATACTTTGGAGAAAGACGTTGACTAAGCCTTTAGCCAATCTCTACAAGATAATTGATGATATTGAACAAAATAACTTAAAAACACAAGAATGAATGAAGAATACAATAAAGACAAGCTTGCTTCATTTCACTTCTTCCATATTATTTCCTGAGGAGCGGGGGAAATGACAAATACACATATAAATAAAGTAGTAAAGCTTGATGACAAGCTTGCTCTCACTATTATTTATTTAACTTGGGAACATTGTATTCTGTCAAAGTATGTTTTTCACCATGTGGGTTTCCACCACATGGTATGTCAATTTTTTCATGAAATTAGAGCTTGCAAGGGGAGGGGCAGGACACCAGATATGCTCTATATCCATTAACAAAATCAAATCTATAATAGATTTTCCATGCGTTACATTATTTGTCTTTCACGTGTCCCCAGTGTCTGCCTCTATTATTAATAACAAAGGTCAGAACACTTAATATTTGGCAGCATGCTTGACACATTATTGATGGTGCAATGTGCTATAATGGTACTTTACACATCTGCTCCCATTATAGTGGTCAACTCATTTAATTTTCAAGGATTTTGTTGACAATTCTTAATAGGAAAATGCCGTCTATAAACCCCTCAATTTTGATATGTTTGTATATTGTATTTATTGACTCATTGAAATGTATTAAAAATGAAGTAGTTAAATTCTAATGTTGAAACAGTGTGCAAGTAAATGGAAATATTGCAAAAGAAAAGTATGATAAACACTTGCACAATATTTTATTGCAATTTTCATGTATTTCAGTACTAGGGTTTTTTTTAAGTTGGTGACAGTAAAAAAGGAAAATAACCTAATTAAATATTTTAGCTGTATTTAATAATGAAATTCAACTTTTATCCACTTCTACAATCATGCTAGAATAGCCCTGATTTTTTACCTCACATGCGCTAATTTGTCACTATTGGTGAATGACTGTCGGCAGTTGCAGATTTCCAAGTTACCATTCAATATAGTAACAAAAAAGTGCTATACAGAAGTGAAATGGTAACAATGAGCATAATTTTTTTATTTCATGTTACTTTAAATAAGTAGTAAGATCACTGCAGTTAATTTGAACTACATCAAAACATCATGAGAACAGCAGAGATATTAGAATCAGTCTCTGTTCCAAAAAGCTTCCAAAGCACAACAGAAAAACATAACAAGTAAGAATGAAAGTATAAAATAAATAAAATGGTTTGAACTATTTTATGCTTTAAGTGATCTCTATTCATTCTGGCATTTTAAATACCAAGAATGTACAAAGTGCATACACAAGGAAAAAAAAAAAAAGTTTGAGGAGAGATTTGAAAGATCATTTGTTAAAAAGGAAGAAAAAGACATTGCCTATGAGAATTAGCCTAAAACTATGGAAGTTTCACTTCTATATTATGTATACATTTTTTTTTTTTTTTGGTCTATCAGCTTGTTAATCTGCTAGAAAATAATCTGATTCTTTCATTATTTAATATTGCTCTCCTGTTTATACGTACACGTATTTAAACTTGTGGTAAGTAGTATAAAATTTCCATTTTAAGGGAAATCAATTTTTTAAGCAAATCAGCATTTTTCAGGTAATATTTAGATATTCTTTGAAAATGTTGAAAAACATATTAAGATTATAGACTTGCACAAAGGTACTTATGTTTGGTCCTTCAGTCAAACATGTAGCTGCTACCGAGTTTCTGAAACACTCTTCTTGGCTGGTGCTTATTCCTCAAGAACCTGCATACCTGAATGGTTCTCAACATTCCCTAATAAAACACCAGTACTTTCATACATTTAATGGGAATTACTTATGAAAATAGCTTTTTTTGATCTGAGTCTGATTTCTCTGGGAAGTAGAGAGAGAGAGAAATAATTCCTCCCTTTCTAGAGCAACTAACTCCCTGCTCTGCTGCCTGGTTTCTTTAAAAGCTTGCCAGAGGTGGCCAGTTCTCCCAGGTTTGTACGAGCCTGGGTAATTAAGACATTGCTGTAGGTGACATGGCATCTGATACAATCAGAGGTGGTAATGCCACAGCACCGTAAGAGAAATCCATATGATCTAGATATGCATGTGTGCACAGAAACGGGAAACAGTGTCAATAAACACCTTTATTGACTACGATGGAAAGCAGTTTTGAGAATGAGGTTGGCAGCACCTTAGCCAAACCCTGAATATCTATGACCTTTTTTGAAGGAATTTCACAACTAGTTTATAGTAACAGAAAAGGTTTTGTTCTCATGCACTTGAGCCTGATCTTTGAAGTTTGCATTGTTCCAGAGCAGTATTGTGGCCATAAAACACTGCAGACTATTTCTAAGAATACAGCAAGTCATATTTGCAAAATAAATTATGAAAGTCAAGCCTTTTATCAATAGACTCGATTCACTATTCAGGAGCTTGCACTAGATGAGCCTAAAAATTAAAGGTCAAAGGCTTCGCAGCAGTCATGAAAATTTGTAGGATAACCAGTCACTGTTTAAGTGCAGCTGCATCTGGATTCTTTAACAGATTCAAAGACCCATACTGAAGCTTTCAGCAAGCATTACACATAGATTGGGAATCAATAAGGATTTGGATTATTGCTGTCTAAAGGCTTATATCTGATTAAATCTTGGAGACACCAGGCAGTGTAATCTGTACCAGACGACATTTGTGTATTATTTTCTTGGTCATCCTCAGATACACTGATCAGTGGTGACAAATGCGAGGATCACTGTGACCGAGTGCATGATCAGAAGAGAGAGGTAACCATTTATAAGTAAAAATAAAGGACGACATTGTGATGATTGCTGGGTTATCACAGTGGCTAACAGGCACTGCAATATGCTGGAAAGAAGACAGTTGGCAACACGAGAATGCCAGTGTTTTCTGCAACACAACTGCTGCAGCCTGTGAGGCTCTGGTGTCAACTGCAGGTGCAACTACGATGCATCTGGGTTGACCATGACAGTTCTCTAGAATTTGATGCATTATAGAAACAATATGTTCATTTTGAATAGTTTCAAGCAACTTTTAGCTAACATTGAGGAAAGTGAATCAAGCAATTCTGAAAACAAAACTTAAATACTTAGAAATTGAACTCCAACTAAAAATTCTGGTTATAAGATCTTAGTCTCTCAGAAAATGATGAAACACCAGTTAGGCATTTTTTTTGAATGGTTTTAATATTGCTGTTTTTTTAAAATACCCTGCAACCTTTTTTGTCAGATGTATCTCATTAAACTCAGTATACAAGAATAAACTACCAAGCCTTTATAAGATTGTTGATTTTCAGTCTTTACTGAGCTTTCATTTGCATTATCATTACTTTTATTAGCAACTGCCATTAGCTTTGTCAGTAAAAGCAAACAAATATGGAGACGGTTTTTGAAGAAAACTACTAACATAGTAAGGCTGCAATTAACTGTCATCACCTCAGGAGATGTAACACAGGCAGCGAGAATTTAAAAAGCTTCTCAGTATTAAGTAGAGATTTACTAAACAGAAAGGTAAAGGACAACCCTTTTATTTTAATTTGAATGCCAGGCCATTCTGAGGTACTGCTTGAGCACAGTATGTGTACTATGCAAAGACATCCTAGGCCCTAATTAGCGAGTGAGAAGTAAAAGTGCTTACTGTGTATGAAGTCTCCAAAAAGGCAGAAGGTACAGTTTTAATGTAATATTTTCTGTTCTACAGGTCAATAGTACATACAAATGGTTCACTAAGAGCTGGAATATGAAATTGCACATTCTAAAGAACATTTCTGAGTTATGCTAAACACATAGGCTACAGCATATAGTGCGTTCTCACTGTGATTAGAATATTTAGTTTTCAGTTCAACGCTCTTGTTTATTCTTGAATTTTTAACAATGTGGCCATTTATTGGACAGAAGAATTAAATGAACACATCACCTCTTATCACTGTTGTATAATTTCTCTCACTACTAAGTAATTTTCCTTTTCACCAAGTTTTTAAAATCACTATATGAAGTCATGAGCAAATTAATCTGTGGTCTAAATATTTAGCAACAGTTCACAGAAATTCCTTGAATTAATTATACTTTTACAACAGTTCTTAAAATAAATAATTTCACAAGCCATGTAACAAGATCAATTGAATTTCAAAGAAAAAGTTGAACTTTATTCCTAAACAAATGTCTTAATCTAATAGGACATGATCTCTGTATTGTTAAACAAGCCTTGCACAGTTTACAGATCTGTACAGAAATATTAATTAGCAGACCACCTACTTTGTCACATTGCCTGTTTCAACAAATATTCTAGCTATAAACACAATACACTACTTAAAACTCAACAAAAAGCTAAAGAATAGTGAGCAAGCTATAACACAGCAATTCCAGTTGCAAAATCTTTGTTTCAAGTTACTACAAACCAGTTTTGTATATATGAAAAATGAAACATAAAGGCTTTTAGAAACCTGCGCATTTTCATAGAGTTTCTAAGTGTGTGCCATTCAAAGTACATTGGCACCTGATTATTTTATTCATCATCACATTTCTTAATTTCATTTTAAACTAGTCATTAAAAAGTCTATTTGGTAACTCAAAGTAACACATCAGACTAACATCATACAGCTAAACTTTTGGTAACTAAGGTATTAAATTGTGAGATTTTATTAATAAACAAAATATCAGAAGAAGCTTTTATTTTTGTTGTCGAAGTATCACCCAAATATTTTACGTAAATATTCTTTGCTAATGTAGGCAAAAGATAGATATCATCTGAATTTCGTTAGCCTGAGGTAGGCACAGAATGCAAAGGACCTGCTACCCACCGCCCACTTGTGCCCACTCTGATAATCTGAGTTTGAAATTTGTTCCATCCTAAATTCTGTGTGGAACATTCTTTGGATCACCATTTGACATCTGTTACAGAGAAGTTATACAGAAACAAACACACTTGTTTAGACATTGAGCCTATAATACTTTTATCCTTGCTCTTTGATGCTGTAGGGACA